AAGGAAGGAAATAAAAAAGATTCAAGGAGAAATAAATGATAGAAAAAAACAATAGGAAGAAACAACAAGCATAGAGGTTGGTTCTTTGAAAAGATTCATAGAACTGATAAATTTAACAAAGGAAAAAAATAGAAAATGCATATAGCATGAATAAGATAATTAAATATGTGATGTCACAACAGAAACTCTGAAACAACAGGATAATAACAGAATACTGTAAAGAACTCTACTCCTATAAAGTTGAAAAACAAGAAGAAATGGACAAATTTCTCAAATCACACTACCTACCCAAACCAATACAATATGAAGTAAAAATTTTACCAGATCCATCACAAAAGAAGAAATTAAACATCTCCTTAAAAAAAAAAAAAAAAACCTCCTAGCCAAGACTGTGTCACTGGGAAATTCTAACAAACATCCAGAGAGGAAGTGACACTGATTCTACTGAAACAATTTCAGAATATAGAAAAGAATAGAATACTCATGAATTCTTCCTATGAAGCAAGCATTACCCTGACACAAAAGCCAGGCAAAGACATCCTTAAAAAGAAAACCAGAGACCAATTTCCCTCATAACAATAGATGCAAAAGTTCTTAAGAAAATTCTACCAATAGATTCCAACAACGTATCAAAAAAAAACCTACGTCATGACCAAGTGGGATTCATACCAGATATGCAAGAGTAGTTCCACATTACAAAATCAATCACCAAACCCCACCGCATACATTTTAAAAAGGAATATATGACTATATACATTGATACAGAAAAGGCATTTGACAAAATTCAAAACCCATTCTTGATAAATAATCTCAGCAAAATAGGAACAGAAGGGAAATACCTCAACAAAATTAAGGGCATATACACAAAAACAATGGACATTATTTTCAATGGAGAGAAACTGAAGACATTTTCCTTGCAAATAGGACCCAGTCAAGGATGCCCTTTAACACCACTCCTATTCAATATTTTATTGGAAGTCCTAGCCAAAGCAATATGGTAAGAAAGGAAATAAAAGGCATCCAAATGAGCAAAGAAGAAGTAAAACCATCTCTATTTGCAGGTGATAGGATCCTACACACAGAAAATCCTAGACTCAAAAAGAAAAGTACTGAAACTAATAGAAGCATTCAACAGGGTGGTAGGGTATAAGATCAACAGACAAAAACCAGTCAGATTCTTCTACACTAAGAAGGAGAACTTTAAGAAGGAAATTAGGAAAACACTACCATTTACAATAGCCACATGAAAGATGAAGTACTTAGGAATACATCTAGCCAGAAACACAAAAGAACTATACAAAGAAAACTACAAAAAAAAAAAAAAAACAGACCTACATAAATGGAAGAATATGCCATGCTCATGGATAGGAATATTTAACATTGTGAAAATGTTAATACTGCACAGACAAATTTACAGATATAATGCAATCCCCATACAGATTCCATTATCATTCTTCAAAGAGATGGAGAAACTAATCATCAACTTTTAATAGAAATGAAAGAGACTTCAGATAAGCAAAGCACTACTAAAGAAGAACAAAGTAAGAGGACTCACACTTCCCAAAGTCAAAATCTACTATACAATCATAGTAGTAAAAACAGCCTGATACTGTACAATGACAGATATTTAGACCAATGGAAAATAATTGAGAACCCAGAAGTAAGTCCATCCATTTATGGGCAACTGATCTTTGACAAAGGGCCAAAACCCATTAAATGGGAAAGAGATAATCTCTTTTTAAAATGGTGTTGGCAACCTGGATATCCATTTGCAGAAAAATGAATGAGGATCCATATCTAACATATACAAAAACTAACTCAAGATGGATCAAATACCTATATGTAAAACCTAAAGCCATAAAGAACATCACAGAAACAAAGAGGAGCAAACTTAGGGGCTCTGATACATGGCATACATACACAATCAAATATAACTGAAAATGCACAGAAAGCAGAAGATAAACTGGATGACTGGGCCCTCCTAAAAATCAAACAATCATGCACATCAAAAGACTTCTCCAAAAGAATCAAAAAATAACCTACACACTGGGGAAAAAAATTGGGCAATGACACATGGGAAAAGAGACTAATCTCTCAAATTTATGGAACACTTCAATACTTCAACCACAAGAAGACAAACAATCCAATTGAAAGATGGGCAGAGGACACGAATAAGCACTTTACCAAAGAGGGCATTCAGGAGGCCAGCAAACACATGAAGAAATGCTCATAATCAATAGCCATTAAAAAATCAAATTAAAACAAAAATGAGATATCATCTCACCCTAATAGCAAAGTTCAATAAACAAAGAAAGCAACAAATGATGGAAAGATATGGAGAGAATGGAACTCTCACATACTGCTGTTGGGACTGTAAAATAGTACAAACACTGTGATCCAGCAATTCCACTACAAGGTATATATCCTACAGAAATACGAACCAGGGCACAAATAGGTATATGCATACCTATGCTCATGGCAACATAATTCACAATAGACAAAAGATGGAAACACCCAAAATGTTCATCAGTGGATGAATGGTTAAACAAACTGTGGTACATAAACACAATGGAATACTATGCAACTTTAAACAATAACGATGAATCTGTGAACACCTCAGAACATGGAGAAACCTGGAAGACACTGTGTTGAGTGAAGTTAGTAAACCCCAAAAGGACAAATATTGTATAACACCACTATTGCAAAATGTCAAGAAAAATTTACACACAGAAATAAACATTCTTTGATGGTTACCATGAGTGGGAAAGGAAGGGAGATAAATCACTAACTGGATTACAGACATATAGTAACTTGGGTGAAGAGAAAGGCAATATACAATAAGGGGGAGGTCAGCACAAAATGACAAGGCAAAAGAAGACACTGGGAGGAACATGAGAGTTAAAGGCATCAAAAGTAAAAGCTATTACATACCCAGTCCTACAATTACAGTAATAATAACAATCTACAAGTGGATACATAGATAGACATGCATGCTGAACAAGTGTGAGAAGGCAAATGGGACTACCCCCATAAATATACATAGATTTGACAGAGAATATTTCTACATATGTATTTACAGGGGGGCCAAGTTATGAAATCTTAGCCATAACCAACTACCTTGAGGGAATGAGTTACTGGGCCTGAGGGCTTAATATCATAGTCTTGGGAGACACTAAAGTCAATTGACATAATATAGTCCACAAAGACAATGTTCTACATCCTACTTTGGTGAGCAGCAACTGGAGTCTTAGAAGATTGTGAACAGCAATCTAAGGTACAAGTGTTGATCTCTCCCCAATGGAACACAGGGCAGAGTACAATTGCCCACAGGGTTTCCAAAGCTGTAAATCTATATGGAACCAGACTGCCTCATCTTTCTCCCAAAGAGCAGCTGATTGGTTTGAACCACGACTTTTTGATAAGCAGCCCAATTCTTTAACCACAGTGCCACCACAGCTCTTACCAGGACACAGAAGAGTGAAGAAAATTAAAGACGCAAGGAAACAATTAGTCCAAAGGACTAATGGACCATGTGAACCCCAGCCACTACAATCCTGAGACTAGAAGGTCTAGGTGGTGCCCAGCTACCACTGCTAACTGTTCTGAAAGGGATCATACAGGGGGTACTGAATAGAATTGGAGAAAATGTGGAGTAAGGCTCAAAATCATGAAAAAGACCAGGGTTACTGGTCTGATAGAGACTGGTGGAACCCCCAAGGCTATGGCCCTTGGACACCTTTCAAACCTGGAACTGAACTCACTCCTCTGGCTCAATTTCCAGTCAAAAGATAGACAAACCTGTAAGGTAAACAATAACACCAGGGAGGTTCGCACTCATTAGAACAATCAACCATAGAGATCAAAAGGGCAGTATTTGCTCAAGGATAAAGCACTTGACTGCTAACCAGAAGCCTGGCAGTTCAAACCCACCAGCCACTCCTCGGAAGGAAGGTTGGGCAATCTACTTCCGAAGTGATACCGCCTTGGAAGCCCAAGGAGGGGTCGTTATGAGTCAGATCCGACTTGATGGCAGTGGGTTTATATCTACAAGTATCCTCTGTTTTTTAAAAGTTTGCTTTATACCACTTCATTTTTACGAAAGATCTACATTGGTACCTACTTTTCCGAACCGAAAGAAATTTGATAGGATTTTCCCTTTTAAGAAAAAGAATAAAAAGTGAAACTAGTGTCCAACATTTGTTTGCAGCAAGCCCTTAAAGAGGCAACACACACCCCAAGCAGTAGGAGTGGCATTACCAAGTTCCTTTCCCTTCAATTACTCTTAGCATCAAACTACCGTAGCTTTCAACAGTATCTGTGAATACTATATGTTAGTGTTATTTTAGATTTTATATATTATTTTGTAGGTTATTTTTGGGGTCTTGGAACACTCAAAATTTTTTCCATATAAATTAATGGTAATTTCTTCATTGCTTTACACCATTTTATTGTTCTATCCAGAACACTGTCCTTCTGGATAGTGGGGGAAACCTGTATCTATATCTATGTCTATATCTGTATCTGCACCTGTATCTATATCTAGATAGATAGATGTTGCTGTGTTATTGTTATGCCTTTGGGTCTGACCTGACTCATAGCGACCCCTCCTTGGGTTTCCAAGGCAGTATCACTATGGAAGTAGATTGCCCAACCTTCCTTCCAAGGAGTGGCTGGTGGATTTGAACCGCCAGCCTTGTGGTTAGCAGTCAAGTGCCTTAGGCACTACACTACCAGAGCTCCTAGATAGATAGATAGATAGATAGATAGACTATAAAAATATTTAAAAATTACTCCCACTTAATTTCTACATTCTTCATGACATAGGATTTATATTTAAATCATTTTATAAACCAGAAAATTTGAGTTCCTATTGTTTGGATTTGTTTGCAAAACTTATGAAACAATAGTGACTTTATAAAAAAGTAGACTAACCTTTTCCTTATTTTGGTAATATACAGATAACACTTGATTCTATTTCTAGTGATATGAAATAAACAGACATGGAAATAAATGACAGCTCATGGAAAGACTTCATTTTAGTGGGCTTCTCAGAATATCCAAAGGCTGAGTTCATCCTTTCTTTGTTTGTCTCTGGTTTCTACATCATGACAATCACAGGCAACATGGCTATCATCTTGGTCTCCCTCCTGGACAGCCGACTCCACACTCCCATGTATTTCTTCCTCCGAAACCTGTCATTTCTGGACATCTGTTTCACCACCTGCATTGTCCCTCAGATGCTGGTGAACATCTGGAGTGGTCACAAGACAATCAGCTATGTAGGTTGCATGGTTCAATATTCAGTGGCCTTGGCTCTTGGCTCCACGGAATGTGTGCTTCTTGCTGTCATGGCTGTTGACCGCTACATTGCTGTCTTGTGGCCCTTGCGCTATGCTACAATCATGCACCAACAGATTTGCCACCTTCTGGCAGCTACTTCTTGGCTCTCTGGATTTGCCAACTCTCTCCTTCAGTCATCACTAGCCATTGTTTTGCCTCTGTGTGGCCACCACCATGTGGATCATTTCCTTTGTGAAGTCCTTGTCATTATCAAGCTGTCTTGTGTGGACACTGGTCCAACTGAATCAAAAATGTTTATTGCACGCCTGATCATTCTTGCCATTCCAGTCTGCATCATCCCTACTTCTTATGCCTGCATTGCCAGGACTGTGGTGAGAATGAACTCTGCTGAAGGACGACAGAAGGCCTTTGAGACATGTGCCTCCCATTTGATGGTGGTCTCGCTGTTCTATGGAACCATTATGTTCATGTATCTTCAGCCTAAGAATAACTATTCTCGGAATCAGGGAAAGATCCTGGCCCTAGTGTATACCATTGTTGCTCCCACTCTGAACCCATTAGTCTATACCCTAAGGAACAAAGATGTAAAGAGGGCAATAAGAAAAGTGATCTGGAAAGATTTAGTGTAAGAGAATATGATTTCTGGAATTTGGGTCATAGAATTTATTTGGACAGTGGATTAATGACAGGAAGGATAGTTTTTCTTTTCAGATTTCAGCCCATACTGATTGGAAAACAAATGAAGCCAGCACCAACTGCAAGCTAAATGTAGAATTATTGTTATCAACACTGGTGACTGTAGTCTTATAAAAATTATATAATACAGAAATTCATTCACATTTTTGCTCTCATCAAAAGATGTAATCTTTCATATGACTGTTTGGGAAAGTTCTGTCAAGTGGATAGTGTGTCCCATAAGCCCCAAATGATGAATTCAGTTTCTCAAGCTGGCCAAAGCAGAGAATGTGAAAGGCTCATGTGTATGGAGGTTGGTCAGTCAGTCAAGATGTCTATAGTGGAGGAGAGTACAATGAGAACAAGAAAAGGAGGGTGCAGAGGCAGAGGATGGCTGAATCACGAAGGCCCAGGGAAGCTGACCTGAATTGATCTCATTCTGCTGGATTTAAGGGCCTGTTTTCAGTGCTTCAAAGAGACAAGAGGCATAATCAGACATAGGGGGTTTCCTGAGAAGAGAGGTAGAGAGGTAGTTTATGGAGGGCTGCAGTTACACCTGTGAGAGACTGTGAATTCCTAGCTGAAAGGAGTGAAGAAGATGCATGGAGTATGCTAACTCAGCCAGAGTATAGGAGGCATGAAAGGATTCCTGAATGGTAGTTGAGAATTCACAGAGAAGCTGGATCTTGGAAGGACTAGTTCTCTGGCTAAGGAGTTTGGGGCTTTATCCTAAACCTTACTGGTAAATGAGAATATAGCTAAGCTAAAACACCAGTTAATTTGGCAGTCTTGCAAAATTCTATCATGTGATCTCCAGATTCCTTTCTATCACCAAAGCTATATTTTCCAAAAATCAATCCGTTTCCAACTTTTGCATTCCAATCACCAGTTGATTTAGTAGAGTGTGCACGATGAACTTTAATAAAGATGACAAAACTTTAGGATGATTTTTATTTTTTCTTTTCCCACTGATAGACATTCTTATTTTGAGAACATGTGGAATAATTATGGCAGCACCTTGGTGGAATAGTATAAACTTGTATCTATAAGAAGGTGTATCTCATTAACAAACCTCTATATAAGTGAGGACCTGGAGCCCTACCTTGGGGAGGGAGGGTGGTTCTAGAACTTAGGTACATTCCAGAGTGGGTCAACTCTGATTTTTTTTGTAGGTTGCTGACGTCGATCTAAAAGCCAGACTTAGTGGACAGAGTAAGGAGCAAATACAAAAGAGTGTTACTGAAACCTCAGTAAAAATGCTGAGCAAAAAACAGAAGCTGGTATGAGAGGTTAGAGCAACAGGGAAGTTACCCCAGAAGTTGTGAGGTAGGCACAGATCAGAGGCAACAGAATTGGGAAGAGTCCATGAGGGGAGCACAGCTTTGGGGACCTTTATAAAAGGATGTTTTGCATTGCCAATGGAAGAATTACTGAATGACCTTTGACACTCTACAGTCACTGAGGAATCCCTGAGTGGCCCAAACAGTTAAGTCTTCAACTATTAGCCAAAATGTTGATAGCTTGAACCTACCTATGTGTGCCTCAGAAGACAGGTCTGAAGATCTTCTTCTTAAAGGCATCAGACTTGAAAACAGAATGGAGCAGTTCTACTCTGCACACATGAGGTCACCATGAATCACAATTGACTCAACAGCAACTAACAAGGACACTGAGTAAATGGATCAATAGATTCAGTCTCACAGAAAGTATTTAGTCCTTTTGTTTACTGAATTTATTAGATTGATTACAGTTTAGCTTTTAGTGCCATGTGGACTCAATCTACCCACAGTCTCAATCTTGGGTGAAATGATTGTTTAGGAAGACTAAGCTCATTTCCCAGAATTGAACAGAATTTGAAGCTGGAAGTCCAACTCACAGATTGAAGTCACTTCTTACAGAAGTATTATGGTTAAAATAAAATTGTTGGTAAATATTTAAACTATTTAAAATAATTTTTCAAACTCTTTCAATCATCCATGAATAATACAGTTATTTTTAAATATATTGTTATCGTTATTTGCCATCGAGTCAATTCTGACTCATAACAACCCTACGTACAACAGACCAAAACACTGCCTGGTCTCCTGCCATTTTCACAATCGCTGCTGTTTTAGCCCAGTGTTGCAGCTACTGTGTTAATTCATCTCATTGGCACTCTTCCTCTTTTTCATTGACCTTTTAATTTACCAACCACAATGTCCTTCTTCAGGTGCTGGTCCCTTCTGATGTTATTTTTGTTAGGTGTCATCAAGTTGGTTCTGACTCATAGGGATCCTATGTACAACAGAACAAAATACTGCCTGGTCCAGTGCCATCCTCACAAGTGTTGCCATGCTTCATCCCATTGTTGTAGCTACTGCGTAATCCATCTCGTGGGGGGTGGTCCTTTCTTTTGCTGACTCTTTATTTTACTAAACATGATGTCCTTCTCTAGGGACTGGTCCCTCCTGTCTAAGATACATGAAACCAAGTCTCACCATCTCCCTTCTAAAAAGTATTCTGGCTGTATTTGTGGGACAAATGTGTTTGTTCTTCTGGCAAAAACCAGAAAACCTAAACTCACTGCCATTGAGTAGATTCTGACTCATAGTGACCCTATGGATTTCCAAGACAGTAAATATTTATGGAAGTACATTGCCCAGTCTTCCTTCCATGGAGTGGCTGGTGGGTTTGTACCGCCAGCCTTCTGGGTAGCAGTCAAATGCCTTAGGCACTATGCCACCAGAGCTCCTTCTTCTTCTGGCAATCCATGATATATTTAATACTGTTCACCAACACCATAATTCAAAGGCATTCTCTTTCAGTCTTCCTTATTCATTATCCAGTTTTTGCATGCACATGAAGTGATTGAAAATACTAAGGTTTGGGTCATTTCTACCTTAGTCTTCAGAGAACTTCTTTGCTTTTCAACACTTAAAGAGATCTTTTGCAGCAGATTTGCCCAATGTAATATGTCATTTGAATTCTTGACTGCTGCTTCCATGGGTAATGATCGTAAATCTGAGTAAAATGAAATCCTTGACAATTGCAATATTTTTTTCATTTATCATGATGTTGTTCATTGATCCGGTTGTAAGGATTTTTTTAATATGTATATTGAGATAGAATCCATACTGATGGCTATAGTCCTTGATGTTCATCAGTAAATACTTCAAGTCTCCTTCATTTTCAGCAAGCAAGGCTGTATCATCTGCATATCAGAGGTTATTAATGCCTCCAATACTTTAAAAAAAAAAAAAAAAACCTCACTGCCGTCAAGTCCATTTGACTCATAACAACCCCTCCTTGCATTTCCAATGTGATTATCTCTACGGAAGTAGATTGCCCAATCTTCCTTCCGAGGAATGGCTGGTGGGTTTGAACCACCAGCCTTCTGGTTAGCAGTCAAATGCCTTAGGCACTATGCTACCAGAGCTCCCCCTCCAATACATGTTGTTGTTATGTGTCGTGGCGTCGTCTCCAACTTGTATCAACCCTGTGCACAGCAGAACAAAACACAACCTAGTCCTGCAACAGCTCTGCAATCCCTGCTATACTTGAGCTCATCGCTTCAGCCACTGCATAAATCCATCTTGTTGAGGGCCTTCCACTCTTTCATGGACCCTCCACCTTACCAAGCATGACATCCTTCTCCTAGAAATGGTCCCTTCTGATGACATAACCAAAGTAGATGAGATGAAGTCTGGCCATTCTCGCTTCCAAGGAGCATTCTGGTTGCACTTCTTCCAGGACAGATTTGTTAGTTCTTTTAGCTAGTCCATGGCACTTTCAGCATTCTTCACCAACACCACAACTCAAAAGCATCAACTCTCTTTGGTCTTCCTTATTCATTGTCCACCTCTCACATGAGTATGAGGCAATTGAAAATACCATGGCTTGGGTTAAGCACATCCTAGTCTTCAAGGAGACATCTTTGTTCTTCAGCACTTGAAAGAGGTCTTTTACAATAGCTATTCCAAATGCAATATGTCTTTTGATGTCTTGACTACTGCTTCCATTGGAATTGATTGTGGACCCAAGTGATATGAAGTCTTAGACAACTTCAACCTTTTCTCCATTTATCGTTATGCTGCTTATTGGTCCAGTTGTGAGGATTTTTATTTTCTTTATACTGAGGTGTAATCCATACTGCAGGCTGCAGTCTTTAATCTTCATCAGTAAGTGCTCCAAATTATCCTCACTTTCAGCAAGCAAAGTTGTGTCGTCTGCATATCTCAGGTTGTTAATGATTGTTCCTCCAATCCTGCTGCCATGTACTTCTTCATATAATCCAGCTTCTCACATTATTTGCTCAGCATACAGATTGAATAGGTATGGTGAAAGGACACAACCCTGACACACTCCCTTTCTGATTTTAAACCACGCAGTATCCCCTTTTTCTGTTCAAATGACACACTCCTGGTCTATTTACAGGTTTCTCATGAGTGCAATTAAGTATTCTGGGATTTCCATTCTTCTCAACGTTATCCACAATTTGTCATGATCCACACAATTGAATGCCTTTGCATAGTCAATAAAACACAAGGAAACATCTTTCTGGTATTCTTTGCTTTGAGCCAAAGTATCACCTTTCTTTGGAATGGCTGCAAATATGGATCTCTTCCAGTCAGTTGGCCAAGTAGCTATCTTCCAAATCTCTTGGCATAGCCTGAGTGCCTCCATCCAGCACAGAACATGTTTGTTTAAACATCTCAGTGGGTATTCTTTCAATTCCCAGAGCCTTGTTTTTTGCAAATTCCTTCAGTGCAGGTTTTACTTCTTCCTTCAGTACCATTGGTTCTTGATCATATGCCACTTCTAAAATGGATGATCATCTACCAATTCTTTTTGGTATAGTGACGCTGTGCATTCCTTCCATCTTCTTTTGATGTTTCCTGCATCATTCAACATACTGCGCATGAAATCTTTTAATATTGCAATTCATGGCTTAAATTTTTTTGCTCAGTTCTTTCAG